AGATGGAGAGGGAGGGAGGGAGGGAGGGAGAGAGAGAGAGATCATGTGGAGACTGAAGATGAGGCATTTCACACTAATTCAGTCATCATGGTTTTATGGCTAGTGTTTTATTGCACACACAGAATGAAGTGAAGGGCACAGAGGTGTCACAAGGCCCTCTGTGCCATTAGGATGAGTGTCTCTAGCCAAGGATAGATGTCTAGGTCATTCTTCCAGTTTAGGGAAGGGAGGGTAGGGTCTCTAAGGAACCCAGATTCCCTGAGGCCTGGAGCTCAGAGGTATAATCTCATCTCTGCCCCTCTGAAATGCATCACATCACAAGCCAGTCAGAAAGCCCAGCCCTTTCAGAACTATTCAGTCCCCAAGCAGACCACTTCCTCCTTGCAGCCTCATACTGAGCTCTCCCCATTGCACTCAAACTCTGACCTGTCAGGGTTTCCTGGGACCTCAGTCCACACCAACTCTGAGCTCTGCCTCTGGGAGAGGGTCCAGGTCCCCCTGTCCTGTTCCACACTGGCCATCCCTTCTGCTGTCAGCTCTAATCCACTTTCCACCACACTTAGAGAGATCAACAGTTCCAAATCCTCCCTACTCCAGTTCTTCCTCAAAACTTATTTCTTCTTGACTCAAGTCATTGATGAGACTAGCTGAAGCCCCTACCCCTGCCTTTGAGAGGAGTCAGCTCAACTTAGAGAGCTTGAAGAAGACAAAGATGGTTAGAGTTCAGCCATCTCAACACCCATCATCCCCAGCCTCTCCTCTAAATTCCAGGCTGACCCTCCATTACCCTTCACTGTAGTACTTCCCTGCTCCACCTCTATCTGCTGCTCTCCTGCAGCATCCTTTCTCAGACCCATCCACTAACCTTCTCCCAAAGCTTCCCAGACCAAGGTGCAGAGCCTCTTCCAAAGAGGAGATAGCAGAGTCCTGTCCCTTCATCACACAGTGCCTGTCAGCGCCCACCTCAGCTGGGCCCACTCTCAGGGAGGGATACATCGCTCACTACCTCTGGGGGCAGCCCCCTCCCCTCCTGCTGCCTTCCCTAGCAGCTCCCTGGGAAATTCCAACATCTCCCAGACCTTTTTGCTTTTACTTATTTGCATAGTTTGATTGGTCAAACGCCCCCACCCCCACCCCGGGAATGCTGGGGAAGGGACAGACCAAGTAGGCAGCTATTCCCGAGCCCTGGCTCCATCAGCCCAGGTCTCCAAGTTCTCTGAGAGTAATTTCAGGTCTGGAGACTGGCTTGGATGGGTCAAGGGTAGAGGTGTTAGAAGGAAAGGAGGGCAGGGGGCTGGATTCCATATTCTCCAAGGTCATCAGGGAGCTCCAACACTATGGGGATCAGGCCTGGGGCCCTCACACGGGGAACAGAGAGTCCTTGCCCTGCTGGGCAGTACCAGCGCTGGAGGGTGGGGTGCATAGGAACACAGGAGGTGCAGGGCTGGGGGTCCCACTCACTGGCAGGTAGTACATCCCGTCTAATGGTCCCACCTCTGAGGCCCAGGGTAACTGGGGGCTACTGAGGGCCGCCGGTAGGCCAGGGGACGACGGTAATGAGAGCCCAGAGATGGGCCCGTAGGCAGGTGGGTAGAGGCTAGACCCCAGGGCCAATGGGGTGTAGACACGCCGTGGCGGCCCTTGGGGTGAGGGTGGTAGCAGCACTTCCACGTACTGCCCGCTTTCAGGGTCAAAGAGCAGGCGCAGTCGAGGCTGCCTAGGGGCCTCCACATAATAACAGCGGCCGCTCTCTGGGTCTACCAAGACCTTCCCCTGATGCGCAGCCCCGGGTGGCCTGCGCACCCCCTGGGAGAGGCCTTCGGGGGGCCGGCCCATGGGGGGCGCTGAGGCAGCGCGGGGCTGGGCAGGGGCTGTCCTGCCCACCGAGGGCTGGGTCTCCTGCGGGAGAGATGGCTGGACGGCCTGTTGGTGGCCTGCAGGGAGGGGCTGTAATTTGGGGGATATCCCCGGGCTGGAAGTGGGCTGTGCCTGCGGGGAGCTGGGGCGGGGTGGCCTGACGGAGTGGGTCTCCTCTGGCTCTCCAGGGCACCGCTGGGGTGAGATGCGAGCACCGCCTGGGGGGCTGGTCCGACCCTCGCCATCCGGCACGTAGCTCTGGGCCTCCTCGAGGCGCTGGTTCTCTCCGCCAAAACCGCGCACGTGGACTCTGGGGTCTCCCTGCGTTCGGCGGCCCAAAGCCAGGGCCCAGGGCAGGCGGATCTCGGAGCGTGCGAAGGGCTTCGCCGTGTTGTTCTCGGCTCTCCGCCGCGGGACTCCGTTGGGCTGCGAGGCGTCCTGGGGGACAGTGTCGAGAATAGAGGGTGGCCCTGAGGGCTCATAGGGGTGCGGCACGATTGGCAGAAAGTCCTTGCGAAAGATGGAAGTGTAGTGAGCCTGGGTTGGGGACCCCAACGCCTCCAGCTCTTGCGTCTTGGATGTGCCGTCCTCCTCCTCTACGCAAGGGTGGGCGGGAGACTCTGGCAGCCCGGAGCCTGAGATTCTTGGGGGGAAGCTTGGCGCATAGGTGGTCTTCACCATCTTGCGCACGTCGCGAGGCCGCGGTATGGCCACACGCGGGCGTCCCGAGGTCGCTTCGCCAGCACCCAAGTCTTCATGGTCCTGGTCGCTCATGAGCAGCCTGTGGGGCAGAGTGGATGAAGCCAACTCTGGCGATGGCTGACTGTCTAGAAGGGCGGTATCCAGAATCTCTGGTGTGGACGAACAGCGTGGCTCTGCCCGCTCTGGGGTCCCGGGTGTAGACGGCAAAGACGGGGCCTGCTCTTCCCGAGCTAATCCATTCAGAGTTTCTGGCGTGTCTGCTGGCAGCGGTAGTTGCACCACCGTAGGAGGCCAGGACTCCTGGGGCGACGGGCTCCTCGGCCTCTCCATGGGGCGATCGGGAGCTTCCCACGGAGACAAGGGCTGAGGCGACGCACTCCTCCTCCTCGCTGAAGCAGCCGGATGCGGAGCCTCCCACAGGGACCGAGCTTCGAGGGATGGGCTGCTTGCCCTGGCAACACCCTGATTCCACCGGGAGAGGTTCAGAGGGGAAGAAGGGCTCCTTCTAATACTGACAGTTTCCTCGACGGCCTGATTCTGATTTTCCTGTGAAGAAGCTTGAGGAAGCGATGGGCTCCGGACCCTCCTGACCGCCCGATCCCAGGGGGACAGGGCTTGGGGAGGCGGTGGGCGAGGACCTCTCAGGGCTCCATTGGGGGCATCCCTGGGTGGGGACGGGCTCCTGGGCTTCACACTCCACCGGCTCTTAGTCTGGGAGGGCGGACTCCGCGCCCTATCTGGCGTCTCCTGTGGAATCTGAGTCTTGAACTCCCGGGGGCACGCCTCCTGGATCTTCTCCTCCGACTGCAGGAAGATGCTGGAGCTGACAGGCCCCAGCGGCTCGGTCCCGGGAGGGGGCTTGTCCCGCCGAATCGCGCGCTCGCGGAGGCTGGGCCATGGCCGTGGGGCTCTGGCGGGAGCGGTACAGTCGTGCACACGTGGTGGCCGAGATTTGTCCTCCTCTGCGATGACTCGGGTGCTGCGGGCAATTTCCCGAGTTGCAGGCTGGGGCCGCTCTGCGCGCCCAGAGGTGGCCCTACTTAGGGCCGGCGGCGCCGCGTTCAGTTTTCTAGCCAACGCCGTTTGCACGAGGCCCGCGGCAGCTTGCAGGCGACTCAGCGACTCGTCCAGAGAACCGGTGCGCAGGAGTAGCGGGGGGCGCTGCGCGCTGGGCGCCCGCGGGGGACTCGGGGCCCGAGGTCGCAGCTCAATCTGACGCTTGGGCACTGTCCTGGGTCTGGCCGGCGCCGCACGCTCCTCCAGCGCCACCTCCACACACTCGAACTGCGCGGACGCCGTGGGGCTTGGCCCGCGGGGTCGCAGCTCCAGATAGGTGGCCCAGCGGGCGCCGCCGTCGGGGACCTGGGGCTGCGGCGAATCTGACGGCGACAGGCTTCGGAAAGGAGGCGCTGTAAGCTGTTGCACCTCGCGATCCGCCACATCCGCGGGGCTGAACAGGGACCCGGCGCTGAAGATGACTTCCATCTCCCCCGACGGCAGCGTGCGCAGCTGGGGCTGGGGTGGCCGCGGGCCCGGGCCCCCCGGGAAACCCGAGACCAGCCTGAACTGCTGGCGGCTATTCTGGGCGCTGACGGACAGGCGAGGCTGCGCGCCCGCCCCCGGCGCAGGGGCCACTCTGGGCCAACTCGCTCGGCCCTCCACGTCCGGCGCAATGTCCGGGAGCTCCGGCGAGCCCGGCGCCGTGTGGTAGGAGCCTGACGAACCTGAGGAGTCCTGGCGCCGCGCAGGGGCCGCGGGTAGGGGCGCTGGGAGCGCCCGCAGGGCCGGGGGCGCGAGCGCGGTCAGCATGGTGGCGCGGGACCCGCTGCACTGCCGCCCGCGCGCTCGCCTCCGCCGCCGCCCGCACTATCCTCGCCCCGCCCGCGGATGCCGCGGGGTCACCGCGCCTTAAAGCGGCCGCGTCCGCCCCTAACAGCCGGGATGGGTCTGGAGAGGCCTGTTCTTTCCCCGCCCCAATGAACCAGTTCTTCTCGCAGGCCTTTTGGCTGAGGGGCAGGTATGGGGAAAGCTGACACCTAATTTGGAGCCAGAAGCTAGAGCCCAAGCCCACTCCACAGGTGAGGAAACTGAGGCTGAGGCAGCGACCTGACGCTCTATTGTGTACCTATCAACAATTTCTTGGAGAGGGACATCATCCTTGGAAAAGCGGAGGGATGACGGAAGAGAAGACAGGGTGACTGCAGCAATGGGCTCAAGCGCGTCAGAGATGAGGAGGATGGTAAAGGAGAGCGGTCAGATGTGTTGATCACAGTCACTACGAGTAATACTTGACTTGATGACACCTAACAACAAAAACCACCAAGGACTGTCAGCCACAGGTTTTCACCATCAGCCCTTAAGGAACTTCTCATTACTGCAGGAATGCCCTTCAGGCCCTCTCATTTGCCTAACCCAGCTCAGAAGGGAGCACACACCATCTTCCTTGCACAGACATTCCCCTAACGGATGACTGAAGGAAGTAAGTAGCCGGAGGCTTGTAGGGACTACAGAGTGTGCTGGACACATCAGGAAAATGGACACATTGCCCCCACCTGACCCTCCAAGAGGCTTTCAAAGGCCTCACACAGGAGGAGACTGTTCTTTGTCCTGTAGAGCAGCTGGTGGATTCAAATCATGCACATTTGGGTGGGCAGTGCAGCTCCTTGCCACTAGTACATCAGAGCTTTTTTACAGGGTGCCCAGGCATAAGCTTTCTTGGAGACACCTTGTCCTATTTTGTAAAGCCCTTCTGAGGCAGGACAAGCCCCCATCCTGTCTCCTTCCCCTGCCCGCACATGTCCCTAAACTCCAGCCCCTCAGTGGCAATCACTAGGATTGGTAACACCCATGGTATCATCCTGCTCACCCTCCATGGACCTCCAGACCATATAGAATCCTTAGCAATGCTTATTATAAATTTTAATATGCAATACTTGTGCACTGCTTAAATTTGGAGTGTTAATACTAACAAAATTGCTTTATAAAACCTCTATTGAATCAATTATCAGTGGCCAGAAGCTTTTGTGATTTTTCTTTTATGTACTACTTCATTCTCAAAAATGAATGCAATTTCTGTAGAAACAATGCACAAATTGTATTTTGGCATCACCTTAACAGTGTCACTTGATGCAGCCTGCACCCCAACAGTGGTACCACTAAAGCCCCTAAGACTTCAAAACATTTGGAGGCAAGTGCAGGTAGGGAAGCAGCTACCACCCACTGTTGTCCTATGACAATGGACACCTTTGTCCTTAAATGTCTGGCTTCAAGGTCCTGCTATGACTCAGGCCCCAGCTAGTCGGGAGCCAGCCAGCTCCTCCTGCACACTCACCCTCACAGTGAGCCAGAAGCGCCCGGCCTTGACAAATCTGACTCACTCTCTTGGATGTGGGCCTCTTGCCTGAGTGTGTATCCCCATCATCACCTAGGACACGCTCAGTGATGGCCTCTATGAAGTTTAACCATGTCCATCACATTCAGCCTTGTCTGGGCAACCTGAGCAAGGCACGGTCTTTTCCCAGACTCAGTCTCCCACCTCAGAAATAGTCACAGCATCATCTTTTTCTCTGCTTTCCATCTGTGGAGACCTGTAACCGTCTATTTGAGGAGTTGTCAGAAGGTGCAAATGCAACACAAGAGCAGACATTCTTTCTAAGTGATGCAAACAGATGTCTAATTGTGCTCTTGTGACACACAGCATTTGAAGTCACTGGCCATGATTTTCATCCTCTCCCCCCCACCCCCCACACAAACGCGCACATGCTTGCAGCCCTGCTGCCCTATAGCTAAGTCGGGAGCACTATAAGAGTTATAATTACCATGGAGTAGGGTGGAGTGTAACTAGGGTAACCAGAGCTGTTTAGAGGAGGAGGGATTAAATACAAAGAGCAAGAAGGGACAGTGCCTACTAGGCAAAAGTCAGCTCCTCCCTAGGCTACAACCCCCTAGCTCCATGAGCCTGGGAGTGGTCCAGCAGGCGGTGGGCTAAGGCCTGCCCTTATCCAGTCTTTAGTAACTTGATCCTCACTCAGGCAACCAGGCCCCAGAAGACAGGGAGGAAGAGGTATGCCTGTGGCCTCTTCTCTAGAAACTGGGTCACTGGCCAGGCCTGGGGAAGAGGTACCCACAGGAATGGCAAAGGTAGGTTTCTGGGTCCCAAGAGCAGAGAAGGCAGAGGCCGGGTGCTACAGCCAGAGAACAAGACGACGACGACCATTTTATTTTTCCCTGAGGGGCAAGCTCCGGGCCTGCCTGGTCCCTGAGGACTTCCTATGCTTCTGGTCCAGCACCCGGGCCATGTAGTTCTCCTGCTGCTTCTGGATCCGGAAGTCAGACATTTGATTCCTGCAATGGAGTTGGCTGGAGGTGGACTGGGGGTGGCTCAGAGTAGGGCCCAAAAAGGTCTGGCTCCTCTCTTCCAACACAACCCCAGCTTGGCCCAACCCCTCACCTGAGGATCTGTTTCTGTTGGCTGATAACTTGCTGCAACTCCTTAATCTCATTCTCTTTGCCATTAAGAATATCTTCTTGCTTTATAATATGAGACTCAATTTCTGTGGGGGAAAGAGGAAGGGAAGAGAGCCCATCCCACAGGCTCTATTCTGAGACATTGCCTCCGGGTCTTTTTGGCTCCTTCCAGTGGGGGAACTTTGTCCACAAGCAGTTGCTAACACCTTGTTGTATACCATCTATTTGGAACTGACCCATAGCTGACCCTTTAGTGGGTTTTCAGGGGCAGTTAATCACATGGGAGGACACTGCACATCCTTCTCTCACACAGCAGCAGGCGGATTCGAACTGCATGCATTTGGGACTGCAGCGCAGGCTCTTACTCCTAGGCCTCCAGAGCTGTGAATCAGTTTATTAGAGTCTCAAGGGTGAAGAATAATGTCTGAATAGAGTTGACTCCACAACTCTAATGTGGATCAAGTGAACATCAGGAGGGCTGGTTTTAGAATGAGGTGGGCAGCGTGCCCAAAAGGCAGAAAGAAATGGTTCCTGCCCTCAACTCTGCCAGTTTTTGATGACCCCACTTCTTTGGTGAGAGCTTCCTAGTCTAAAATGAAAATCCCCTTATGATCTTTTTTCCCAGCTTAATTTTTCTCCTGAAGAATTAAATATCTGTGTATTTTACTCATTTTCTTTCCTATTAGGAGGTAAGTTCCTATAACAACTCAAATCATTGCTACCAAGCTGGAACCCACTCAGAGCTGACCCTCCAGTGGGTTTTAAGGGGCTGTAAATTACTGGGGAGGAGAATGCCCATCTTTCTCCCACGGGGGTGCTGGTAGATTCGAACCACCAAAGGCATGGCCTTTGGGTTTATTCGCAGCACAACTCCCTGTGGACTATGCCGTCAGAATGCCCTAAGCTCGTAAGACTTCTGTTTTACTCACTGAAGACCCTAAGGCTGAAAACAGTGTCTGGCACATCACAAGAGCAGAATAAATGTATTTGTCGAATAGGTGGATTTTCCCCTGGTGACTTAAAGCATAAAACATCACTTGGTTTAGTATTTTAGTTCAACCAGACCTGGGCTAGGACTCTGGAGGTGGTGGGAAAAGAGGGGTATCTGCCCTCAAGAAAGCAGCTCCTGAAATGACTAATGAGCTAAAATGCAGAAACTGGCCAGAGAGCAGGACAAGCTCGTTTTCACTAAAGTTAATATTGATGAGTCAATATTGCCACGTTGGGCACGCTGCCTTTTTCACTTTTAAGATGGGGAAGGAGGACCCAGTGAGATAGTGTTGGCAGGGCCTGCTCCCAACGTAAAACTTTGTTTGATGCACAGATGCTTTCTGTGTCCTGGGCCAAAATCCATGGAACTTTAAGGATATGGAGGTATTTTATTTATATAACCTGACCTCATAGAACCCTGGACATACCCTGCTTCTCACAGGAAGAAAATCCCACTATCTTTGAAAAGCTGGACAAGGATAACTAACTAGGCCACAAACTCTAAAAATGCAGAAATACTGGTAAACTGTGACATTATGGCACAGAATCAAGATGGCAGGGTGAACGGGCAGGAGGAGGGCATGAGCTCACTGGGTCATGGGCCTAAGGTTAGAGATCAATCTAGATTAAATGTTGTGGGAGTCTTCTGGGGAAAAACAATCAGACGTTTGTATGAGTCTTTTAAAATAAAAACCTGCAGCACGCAGATGAAAGAATGGTTAGAAAAATCCCTTTCAGAAGGAAAAAGGACTAGGAAAAGTAATAATCAAGTCTAAACTACACAAAAAGAGGAGACAGGCCAGATGAGGCTCCGGGTGCCATACTGTGCAGGGGAGCACTGGCCTCATCAGTGTGGTGGTCCGGACACTGTGGGAGGGGCTGCCAGACCAGAGTCAGGAGCCACACACACTCCTTCCACAGACTTGGGGCGATCTTGCAGGAAGATAATGCCTGAGAGGGAAGATGTTTCTGGCTCCCCCAAGAAAAACTTTTAAGTTCCTCTTAGGGAAGTGCTGCATACCCAGGAAAAAGGGAAAGAATAAATGAAGGGACAAGCAGACTCCGCTTGTTGGGCTCAAGGGAGACCCTGGTGGGAACGCTTGGTATGGCACTCTAAGCCCTGGCAGCCTGGCTGGCTGGGTGACACTATTGGCTGGCATCTTCCCCGTGAGAGAGCAGACTGGGCTGCTTGGTGGTGGTCCTCCCACCCCTTTTGAGCCTGAGCTCTGGTCTCTGGCCTCCTTGAGATCTATTGCAGCTAAAGAGGTGGTTGTTTTAGATGGAATCAATCTATCGTTCTTACACTAGATAATAGGGGTTTATCACTTTGGGAAAATGAAAAGTGCTTGAGA